AATGACCAAATCCCAATGACCAATGCCATGAAACCGCGAAGGCCCTCCCCTTCAGCCCCTCAGCCCCTAGCCCTCCGCCATTGGTCATTGGGGCTTGGTCATTGGGATTTATCATTTAGCCCCCGGTCAATGACCGGGGGCTAACTAGGAGTGGGAGCGAAGATCAATAAGCCCGCGCGAACACCGCCCGCCGCTCGCTCCGCCCGCCGGTGAAGAGGCACTCGCCCGCGCCGTCGTCCCCCAGCAGCGGCTCCAGCGGCACGCAGCGCGGCGTCACCTTCAGCGCTTTGCACTTGGCTTCCATCTCGGGGCCGTCGGTGAAGTGGGCGTAGGCGAGGCCGCCCGGCTGGCCCTCGGCGAAGAACGCTTCGAAGTCGGCCAGCGTGTCGATCACGACCGACGCCTCGTCGCGGGCCCGCTTCGCCCGATCGAACAGCTGCTGCTGCAACTCGCCGAGCATCTTCGGCGCGTCGGCGACGAACTTAGCCCGCTCGACGCCGACACCCTTCTCCATCAGCCGTGAGGCGGCGAAGACGCTCGCCGAGGCCACGTCGCGCGGGCCGACCTCGACGCGCTGCGGCACGCCACGCTTCACCCACTGCCACTTCTTCTCGCCGCCACGCAGGTCGCGGGTATCGATCCGCACCCGCAACTTCTCGCCGTCGTACTCCTGGGTGGACAGTTCGTTCTTGAGCGACTCGCAGTAAGGCAGCACCGCGGCGCGCTCCTCATCGTTCTTGAAGATCGGCAGAATCACGGCGTGCGCCGGCGCGAGCTTCGGCGGGCAGATCAAACCATCGTCATCGGCGTGCGACATGATCAGGCCGCCAACGAGCCGCGTGCTAACACCCCAGCTGGTGGTCCAGGCGTACTGGAACTCACCGGCCTGGTTCTGGAACTTGATCTCTTGCGCCTTGGCGAAGTTCTGGCCGAGGAAGTGGCTCGTGCCCGCTTGCAGGGCTTTGCGGTCCTGCATCATCGCCTCGATCGAGTAGGTCGCCGCCGCGCCGGGGAACCGCTCGCCGGCCGTCTTCTCGCCTTTGATGACCGGCATCGCCATCGCCCCCTCGGCGAACTCGGCGTACACGTCGAGCATCTTGCGCGTCTCTTCCTGCGCCTCCTCAGCGGTCGCGTGGACCGTGTGGCCTTCTTGCCAAAGGAACTCGGCCGTGCGGAGGAACATCCGCGTCCGCAGCTCCCAGCGCACGACGTTCGCCCATTGGTTGATGAGGATCGGCAGGTCGCGGTAGCTCTGCACCCACCGCGCGAACGTTGCGCCGATGATCGTCTCGCTGGTGGGCCGGACGATCAGCGGCTCCTCAAGCTTCGCGCTCGGCGCCGGCTGCAAGCCGCCCTTGCCGTTCGGCTCGAGGCGGTGGTGCGTCACCACGGCGCACTCCTTGGCGAACCCCTCGACGTGCTCGGCCTCCTTCTCCAGGAAGCTCATCGGGATGAAGAGCGGGAAGTAGGCGTTGTCGTGCCCCGTCTCCTTGAAGCGTGTGTCGAGCCGCCGCTGGATGTTCTCCCACAGGGCGTACCCCCACGGCTTGATGACCATGCAGCCCCGCACGTCCGAGTTCTCAGCCAGGTCGGCCGCCTTAACGACCTGCTGGTACCACTCGGGGTAGTTTTCGGAGCGGGTGGGGGAGATGGCAGTCTTGGCCATTGCGGATTGGGGATTGTGGATTGCGGATTCTTGAAGCGGGGCATTCTAGGCGCCGCCTGCCTCGCTCGGGAATGGAGCTGCCCCCCGCGTCCCGGCGAGCCCCATCTGATAGGCTCATACCCAATCCGCAATCCGAAATCCCCAATCCCCAATCCAATGTCCCGCTTCTTCGTCTCGCAGCTGCAACACAACCAGCAGGTCGACCAAGTCTTCCTCGCTAGCAACAAGCAGCTGCGGCCCAATCGGCAGGGAAACTTGTTCCTGCAGATCGACCTCTCGGACCGCTCCGGCTCGATGCCCTGCCGGATGTGGAACGCGACCGAGCGGGACTACGCCGCGATCGAGAACGGCGACTATGTCTATGTCGAGGGGACCGCGCAGCTCTTCCAGGGGTCGATGCAGCTGATCGCCCAGTCGATCAAGCGGGCCGAACCGGGGGATGTCGACGAGTCGGACTTCATGACCCTGCAAACCAGCGAGGTGCAAGAGCTCAAGGAACGCCTCCTGAAGACGCTGCGGGGGATCAAGTCGAAGCCCCTGGCGGCGCTCGTCGAGGCCTACCTCACCGACGACGTCTTCATGGACAAGTTCTGCCGCGCGCCGGCGGGGATCAAGAACCACCACGCCTACAAGGGCGGCCTGCTCGACCACGTGGTGAACCTGATGGACGTCGCCCAGGCCGTCGCGCCGAAGTACCCGCAGGTGGACGTCGAGAAGCTGCTCGTGGGCGTCTTCCTTCACGACTCGGGCAAGGTCGATGAGCTGGAGTACGAGCGCGACCTCGCTTACACCGACGAGGGCCAGATGATCGGCCACATCGTCCAAGCCGCCTGCCTGCTCGACCGCAAGGCGCGCGAGGCCGAGGGGCGCGCGCAGCTCGCCTTCCCGCCGATGCTCCTCATGGAACTCAAGCACATGGTGCTCAGCCACCACGGCCACTTGGCGTTCGGCAGCCCCAAGCTGCCGATGACACTCGAAGCGGTGGTCCTTTCCGCGATCGACGACATGGACGCGAAGCTCGCCAGCTTCACGGGCCTGATCAAAGAATGCCCCAACGCCGACAGCCGCTGGACGCAGTACTTCCCCAACATCGACCGCAAGTTGTGGAAGGGCGTGAAGGCCGACTGAGGCTCGCCCCTTCGAGCGAAGCAAGAAAATTGTGGGAGGCGTCTCCAGACGCCGATTACGGTTTCCATTCCGAAACGGCATGGTGCGCGTAATCGGCGTCAGGAGACGCCTCCCACATGAAAATCTTTGTTTAGGTCGAGGCTAGATTGCCTGCTCCGGAATCGGCTCCGCGCTCCGCCGCGCGGACTCCTGACGCCGGCGCTTTTTGGCGAGCGCATTGATGCGTTCACCGGCGACGCGTTTTGCGCGGGTGAGCGCGCCACCAATCGCGGTGGCGACGGACTCGCTCAGTTCTTTCACGACAAAGGTCTGCCCGTTGCGTAGCGACACCTGCACGAGGCACGCCTGATCGCGTCCGCCGCGGGGGCCGTTCTCGTCACGCAGGCGGACGAGCACGTTGTCCACCAGCGACGCGTAACGCTCGAGCCCTTCCTCGAAGCGCTGCTTGATAGAGGGGAGGGAAACTTTCGACGCCGACTTCGAGAACACCGAAACTTGCATCACATGCCTCCTAATCACGGTGAAAAGCAGGGCCCCGCCAATCCAACGACAGCCCTATCAATTCTACGCGGCTGGTCCCCGCGGGGTTCCCACGACGGCGTTCGGCAAGCCGCCGCCCATGGAGCCTTCCACGGCAGAACCCGCAAAGACCGCCAACTCCGCTCCCTAAATCCGCTATAGTTAGGGACTTATGCGAGTCGCGCCCGACCGGGCCTCCGAACAGCGACCCCCACTTTCGGTAAAGGACCACGGATTACACGGATGTCACGGAGAGACGCTGCGATAGCGATCCGTGGAATCCGTGTCATCCGTGGTCACAACTAAGCGTCTCCAAGCGCGCCAACAACGAGAACCAATTCCACCATGGACGACGAACTCCGCTCTGCCATCCTCTCCTACACCAGCAACCCCGCCTACCGCGCGGTTAAGCCGAAGGTCATCGCCGAGCGGCTCGGGCTCGAGGGCGACGCGGCGGTGAACTGCAAGAAGCTCGTCAAGAAGCTCATCCGCGAAGGCGAACTCGAGTACGGCCCCAACCACCTCGTCATACCAATCGATCCCGAGCACCCCGCGCGCACGAACCTGATGCCCGCGGTCACCGGTGAAAGTGGCCATCCCGTCGCCGACAGTGGACAGGCGACAAGCGACAGCCGTCGCGACCGCGGCAACTACGTCGTCGGCACGCTGCGGCGCATCAGCTCGGGCGACGCCTTCGTCCGTCCCGAAGGGACGCCCGCCTCGGCCGAGCGCGACCTCGACATCTTCGTCCCCGGTCGGCAATCGGGCGACGCCGCCAGCGGCGACGTGGTGCGACTGGCCGTCTCCAGCCGCCCCGGCGCCTACGGCAAACCGACCGGCAAGGTGGTCGACATCGTCGAGCGGGCCACCAACGTCTTCGTCGGCACGTATCTCGAAGAGGCGGGCTCGGCCCTCGTCGAAGTCGATGGCAAGGTCTTCGGCCAGCCGATCTACGTCGGCGACCCCGGCGCGAAGGGCGCTAAGGAAGGCGACAAGGTCGTCATCGAGATGGTCCGCTTCCCGTCGCAGGTCCGCGACGGCGAGGGCGTCATCTCCCGTATCCTCGGCGACCGCAGCGCGCCGGGCGTCGACACCCTGTCGATCAAGTACGAGTTCAACCTGCCGGGTGATTTCCCCGAGGAAGTCCTCGAAGACGCCCGCCAGCAAGCGGCCAAGTTCGACGAGTCGATCCCGGAGGGCCGTCGCGACCTGACCGGCGAGGTGATCGTCACGATCGACCCGCTCACCGCGCGGGACTTCGACGACGCGATCTCGCTGAAGAAGCTCGACAACGGCCACTGGGAACTGGGCGTCCACATCGCCGACGTCTCGCACTTCGTCGTCCCCAAGTCGGCGCTCGACCGCGAGGCTTACGATCGCGCGACGAGCGTCTACCTGCCCGACGAAGTGATCCCGATGCTGCCGGAGATCATCAGCAACAACCTGGCGAGCCTCCAGCCCGACCGCGTCCGCTACGCCGTGACGGCGCTGCTGGAAATGAGCCCCGAGGGGATGCCGATCAACTGCGAGGTGTTCAAGAGCGCAATCAAGAGCCGCCGGCGGTTCACCTACGAGGAAGTCGATCTGTATCTGCTGGCGAAGGGTTTGGTAAGCGCTGACCCGTCGCGAGCCACGTCGTCCCCGACCGCGGCCGATGTCGTGTCGACCCTCTCCCCCGAAGTCGATCGCCTCCTCGCCGACATGTTCGAGCTCGCCATGAAGCTGCGTAAGCGCCGCTTCGACCGCGGGGCGCTCGAGCTCAGCATGCCCGAGGTCCAGATCGACCTCGACAAGGACGGCCGCGTCTCCGGCGCGCACGTCGAGAAGAACACCGAGAGCCATCAGGTCATCGAAGAGTTCATGCTGGCGGCCAACATCGCCGTGGCGACGAAGCTCGCCGACTCAGGACTCCTCTTCCTGCGGCGTATCCACGGCTCGCCCGATCCACGAAAGTCCCGCGCCCTCACGGAGTTCATCCGTTCGCTCGGCATCCCGGTCGAGAACCTGCAAGACCGCTTCGAGTTGCAACAGGTGCTCGATCGTGTGAAGGGAGACCCGCGTCAGCACGCCGTCAACTTCTCGACGCTGCGTTCGATGCAGAAGGCGATCTACAGCCCCGAGGAAGAGGGCCACTACGCCCTCGCCGCCGATTGTTACTGCCACTTCACGTCGCCGATCCGTCGTTACCCCGACCTGACGATCCACCGCCTGATCGACGCGCTGAACCATCATCAAGCGGGGACCGGGCCGAAACCCGTCAACGAGATGAGCCAGCTCTTGCTCGAAGGCGACCACTGCAGCGAGCGCGAGCAACGCGCGTCCGGCGCCGAGCGTGAGCTGAAGAAGATGAAGTTGCTCAACTACCTGAGCGACAAGGTCGGCACGGAGATGGACGGCGTCATCACCGGCGTCGAGAAGTTCGGCGTCTTTATCATGGGCCGCGACATGCCGGCCGAGGGCTTCATCCACATCACCGCTCTCGGCGACGACTTCTACNNCCACCGCGCCAGCCACTCGATCGCCGGCAAGCGCGAAGGGAACACGTTCCGCCTCGGCGACGCGGTGCGGGTCGCCGTCGCCAATGTGGATGTCGACGCCCGTGAGCTCGACTTCCGTTACCTCGGCCGGGCCAAGGGCCCCGGCGCGGCGAAGCACGCGCAGGAAAAATCCACTGGCGGCCGCAAGGGCCGGCCGCTGCCTCCAGAAAAGAAACGACGCCCCTCGCAAGGCAAGAACCGCCAGGCACGGGAGCGATCCGCCGGCGCGGGCGGCAACACGGATAGCCAATCCCCCGCTTCCGGAAACAAGCCGCCCCGCGGCAAAAAGCCCGGCAAGAAGCGCCGGTAGCGCAGGCAGACGAACCACTTCGAGTGCTCCCAGCCGTAGGCGGAAGCCCGCGGCGCGCAGCGGGAACATGGCGTCCACCGTTGGCTGCCGCCTCCGGCTGTGGCCCATCGGAATGGTGCGATTGCCATCACGGCGCCCCTTCAACCGCCGGCGCTGTCCGATAAGCTGACGGTCCTAGGAGACCTCGCCCGCCCCCTCCCCCACCGCGACGTAACGGATGTCGTCCACCGCAGAGCTCTTACGAACGCCGCTCTACGATTGGCACGCGGCCAATGGCGGTCGGCTTGTCGACTTCGCCGGCTGGGCGATGCCGGTACAGTACAGGTCGATCGTCGAGGAGCACAACGCCACACGCCAGCGTGTCGGCCTGTTCGACGTGTCCCACATGGGCCGGCTCGCCGTCCAGGGCGCCGCGGCAGAAAGGTGGCTCGACGGCCTCACCACCCGCCGCGCCGCCGGCACGCCGGTCGGACGCGTGCGGTACTCGCTCATCTGCAACGAGTCGG